AATATTAATGACAATTTATTAATAATTAGTTTAAAAAATTAAAAAATTAAATGAATAAATAAGTAAATGAAGAGTACTTACTTGTAATAGAAATTTTAATTTAGAATAAATATTATAAGAATAAGTAATTAGAAATTATCTATGAAATTTTATGAAAATTAAAATAATTAGAATTTATTTATTTATTTATTTAAATTATATTAGAAGAATTAATTAATTCTAATATAAAGATATAGATATATTAAATAATTTTAATAATATATCTTATAAAGAAAAATAAAAAGAACACTAATCACAATTGATATATTATTAAATAATTATATTATAATAATTAATAATTATATTTAAAACTTTATATAAACAATATATAAACTTTATATAAACATTTTTTAATACACATTTTTTAATCCTCATTGTATTAAATTAAATTAATTAAATTAATTAAAACTACTAAATAAATAAAAATACTAAAGTTAAATTATATCATGATTACAACAAATATTTATATATATTCTTATATTTCTTATTTTGCTATCTTTCAATTCTTACACAAAAATAATAAATAATAAAAATTAACAATAATTTATACATAATCTAAATTTTTCTATTATTATTATAATTTTTTTATTAAAAATAGTTAATTATCAAATTTCCATTACAATTTTTTTCATCTCATTGATCATCTCATACGATTATCTCCATTATCAATTTCATTTTGAATCGATTGTCACATATGATATAAAAATATTAACAGAGCTATCATTTAAATAAGTGATTTAAAAATATATTGAATAATGGATTTATTTTATCTTTGCTTTATGGTTCATTCCTAACAGTCGGTAATGTTGAAAATGATAACTAAAATGATAAAAAGATTCGAAAATATTTAAAACAGGATAAAAAATGCATTAGATATTAAATTTATTCATTTTTAATAATTTCTTTTTAATAATAAAAATAAAATTTTCATTTATGTATTATTTTTGACATAATTATGAACTTATTATTATTATTATTAGATTAAACTTGTCTCTACGTATCTTTTTTCAAATTCTCATAAGTCTAAAATTTATCTTTAACAAATCATTCATATTAAAAATCATATTAAAAAATAATAATGAATATTTTTAAAATATTATTACATTTTTTAAAGATTTTAAAAATTTTTTAAGTGGATATTTTTATATTATACTATGGCTTCTATAATTTATAAATACGACCATCTTCAATTCATATAGTTATAGGTTATCATGGCGAATACTTTCAGTCAAGTTGCAACTGCGCGAGGAATTATACATATATTAATATTGTGATTGTTGCAATATGTTGTATTTTATTGCTAGCAAAGTGCTTTCTACTTAAATTTTAATCTTGTTTGTCGTTAAATTGTAAATCCACGTAATGCCGAAACGTAAAATTTCCTTTGTGGAATTTAAATCTTCACAAAACAGTAAGTTATTAATGTATTACGATCTTATTAACGAATATATTTATAATTGTAGTATTTGTAAATATATATTTCTGAATTTTTTTCTATATTTCAAATTATTATTAAATATTATATTTTAAATTTTAAATATTTTTGACCAAAATAAATTTCATATTATTCGAACTAAATAAATTTTAATACAATGATTATTAGAAATATTATAAATAGTGGAATTAAAGTCTTTAAGTATTAAATTTTATAAATTTATTATTAAATCGATTATACGAGAATATAATATAAGTTTTTGTTAGCAAAAAAATTACAGAAAAAATATTAATAGAAATTATTTTTATTATTTCTATTTATCTTCTTTGATTTGTTATTATATATGTTTATAATATAGAATATATTTATTTTTTATAAGTTAACTTTATTTTTTATTACTAATAAAATTAATAAAATATAATTAATTAATTGAAATATATTAATATGATTAATTATTACATATCAATTATTAAAAATAATCAATGAAATTATATAATAATAATTTATCTTTTTTATAATTTCAAGATAATGAAACATTATTTATGAAATTATTAATTTATAAAATTTTAAATAATTTTAAAACTTGTAAATTTTATGTAGCTTGTCAATCTCTATATATAAATAGTAATTGTAATCTTTGCTGTTAGTCATGTATTCTATGTCTGAAATATTCTTCATAAAAGTATTCGATTTTAATCTAATATTATTAATTTAATGTTTATATATATGTTAGCAATTATTCTTATGTGGATATCTTTAGATTTTAGAATAAAATATTTTCGATTAAATGATAAATGTAATAAATTCAAAATTTTTATATTTTTTCCATGGAAGCGCGAATTAATAGCTTAATTAGCAGTTAATTACTATAATTCTACTATTCAATTTTATTGCAAATTAATAAAAAATTAGAATTTATTATGAGTCTTATAAAATGCTTTACTCGTACGAAGCATTATTAAAATCTTGTCTTAAAAACGCCGTCTAATCTCTATTCGCGATTGCATAAGATTTCATTGCAGATTAGTCCTTGATGAAAATTTAAGGTAAATGAAGAAAAAGATTCTTTTCGTTTTGATCAACCCATTAAAATTAAATAATTTTATAATTGTATTTCAATGTTATATAAAAAACATATATATGACATTTTCTTTATTTTCTTTATTTTCTTTATTACATTATTTAAATCAATTTGACTATGTTTATGTCATCAAAATTTATTTATTAATTTTTTTTATAATATAATTGAGATATGATTGAAATATAAAATATAAATTGAAATTTTATAAAAAAATTATTTGTTTATTAAATATAAAATATTATTTTTTTAAAATAATAATTGATAAAATAATATTTTTATTTAGTTGAAACATCAATTGAATAAAATAGTAAAATAATTAACTTACAAATTGCATCAAATTGATTTGAAATCAATCATCACACATATATTATAACAAATCATAATATAATATATATTATGATTGAATATTTTTAGAAAATTTTTATATAGTTCTTGTAAAAAATGCAGTTTTATTTATTATACATATTTTCACAACATAAATAACAATAGCAGCATATATATTAACTAATTATCTTAAATAAGTAAATAATTACTGTTAAACAAGTATAAAAAAAACAAGTAAAAAAAACACAAGGTTATATAAATGTCTCGTCAGTTTGATATGAAAAACTTAATAATTATATGTCTGTCATTGCAGTAATATTTTACCATTTTAATTGTAGCTGTAAATTTTCATTTAATTCAGTTATTTATAATATTCCAAATTTCACGTGCACGATATGACGTATTTTCGTAGTTAACCTTTACCTCAATGACTTTTGTTCAACAGTTCGTATTAAGTAATTACGTGCAATATAAAATTGAGACCAATGTACTAAATAATATTTATTGAATAATTTAATATAAAAAATAGAATAAAAAATTTTAAAACTTTTTTAAGAAAAATAAAATTTTAAAATATTATGAATTTTAAATAAAATGAAATTTTTAAAATATTGAATAAAAAAATAAAAATTATAAATAAATGATTCATAAATGACTTTAATAAACAAATTTAAAAAAATAAATTGATTATTAATTGATTCGAGAAATATAAATGTTTCTATGACGTACTATAAATACGTAATATATGGGTTAATAATATAAAATTAATTCATTTTATAATATATTCACATAAAGTGATGTTCTATAATCAATATCTTTATTATTTTTCTTTTGTATGATTATGTATATTTGTTTTTTTTTTAATTTTTTGTTAATTTCTTTTTTTATATCATTAATTAATTATTTATTTTATAAATTTTTTGGTTTTATTTTTTAATATTAATAAAATTAATAAATTTAAAAATATTCAAATTAATTAACTTTTTTAAAATTAATATTCATTTGTTTTTTTTTTCATTTAATAAAATGATTTATCAATTATACTGAAAATAAAATTAGTATATGAATTGAAACTAAAACTAGTCAATCAATTCTAATTATTTAATAGAAATAATAATAAAGATATTTAACAAAATATAATCATGTAATTTGTTTCAGAAAAACTTTTTCATCAAGGTATTTAACCATTAGAATAAAAAAACTGCAGAGCTTTGTATCCGGGAAGTGACCCCGAAGACCTGACCATACATCCGAATATATTAAAATCTATTT